GCTGAACAAGAACAGTGGAACAGCAGCGAATTGCATGAATTTCGCAGAGGTGTATGTACAACGACATCAATGACAATCGAAAAATTGGGACACTGACGACAATTTTTTTTATTTTTTTTTATAGGTATATTTATTTTGAAGCAGCAAGATGGCGCCGCTCGCCTAATACGAGTATGTACTGGGTATGCGCCAGCAACAAATCTAAACTAAAGTGATCAGCTTGATTTTCGTATTTATTATTGAGTACTTAAAATACATAGCATACACAAGTACATACATATGTATGTTTTTTGGCCTATATACAGCTGTATTTACTGTGAGCTCTAAGAATTTGCAATTGATGGTTGTAGTAGCCAAAGCCAGTTGGAAAACTACATAGTAGAGAAATTATGGCGTGAAAGACAAAGTGAGCAAGCGGAAAAAGGTGTCGTCGACATTCATACCCAAGAAAAAAAAGCATGTGGCATTTTGGTTCAAAATGAAACTAGTTACTTTGCGAATAGTTGGTAACTAGTTGAAAATTCGACACTGGATTTTATTTAAATTATTTTGATGCAATTAAATTTGATCACAATTCATGGCCAGTAAATATAAGTACACACTATATACATACGGTAAATGTATCAAGCGTAAGGCGGAGCTCAAATGCCTTAAAAACAACAGCAAAAATCAAATAAACAAACAATAATTAAGTAAACGGTAATGAAAGAAAAAAAAAACGAAATTCACACGAAAAATTCAAACTGAAAAGGGACGTCGCACAGTGGTCGGAGAGGCTGTGTTTCACGCAAAAAAATTTAATTATAAATGCAGTATCGTAGTATTATTGTTATGCTAAATCTTAATATGCCATACAATTTTTTAGTTTGACAGTTGACAACTGTCAAATTATTTGTCAATTTCTCTTAAACTAAGAATTTTTTTCGAAAATATCTGATTAAATTAAAACCTTGAGAATTGACAGCTGTCAAATGGGCTGCTAATTTTTCTAAAAATAAGAAAATATTTTTTAAAACGCTACTGATAAAGGTTCATGAATTGTACGTAGCTAGAGAGCTGACAGTTGTCGAATGGGCTGCAAATTTTTCTAGAAATTAGGAGAGAATTAAACGTACTAGGTTTTCGGGCTCACAGCTCTCGAGTTCTATACCACATTCAAACTTATTCAGTTGACAAGTAGGCTCCCTTGTTTTTATAAATAAATATTTTTCACTTTATACGAAATTCGTTATTTCCAAAACTTCAATTTTCTCATTTTCAAATAAAGTTATTCATATTTGACAATTCAATAATTTATTTAAATGTCGGACGTCATATTGGATTTTAGATTTTGAATTATCAAAACCTAGTTTGGAATTTGTAGTAAAAATTTCATGAAAATTGAGTAGTTTTTAATATTGGATTTGCTATTTTGCATTTTTGAAAATTGTCTTCAGGTTTGTTAAGATATGTATGTACATCTCATAAATTATATGGTGGTAAATATATAGTCTAAATTACTTTAATCCCTAATGTTTTATAATAAAATTTTTTATGTTAGATATTATTGAAACTACTAATCAGATTTGAGTGCGTTGAACTCTTCTGAATAAGAGAATACCTTTATTCCGGTCAAATTTATCACAGTTTTCAAAAATGCCTTTTTCGTGTAAAACATGGCCTCTCCGACCACTGTGCGCCGCCGTCAACTGCGAGAGCAGAGCCTTCATTAAAGCCGCCGCTCTGCAAATGAAATGGAAATTGAAAAGCTCCAAAGGCAACTAAAACACTTCATCGTCAAACAGTAAGCACAAGCAGACAACAGCAACAACAACAGCAAACAATAAAAAAAACTAAAACAGACTTTGCACCATTTTTCAATGGCACGAGCGCCGAGAACATTGAACTATTTCCCATTTATTATTTATTTTTATTCTTTTGGTTTGTTTTTACGACGCGATTATTTTTTATGGAAAGTGTTGAGCTATGTATGTATGTATGTATGTACAATCAACGCCGCCGCTTCGCACGGCCCGACTTCCAGCAATACATATGTATGTACAAACAGATACAAGAACGAGTACCTACATACATACCCGTACCTTAATACAGCGAAAACGTACAGTGGTATTGGTGGCGGTGGGGGCTACACTGTTGAAAATGGCAATCTACAATCAGCAGCAAAACAGCTCAAAACTAACAGCCAACAGACAGCGTAACTAGCAATATTTTGTCTTTGAAATGCTTAAGACTGTCGACTGTCGACTGTCGCTTCGATGGAATGGAATAGAAAGAATGGCATGAATTAGGGGGAGTGGAGCGCAAAAAAGCTCAATGCGACTGGCGGTGGCGAAGGACAGTGAGGTGAGTGGCAAGAGCATACATGCATACATATGCACACTAGGGTGTTCCAAAAAAAAAAAATAAAATCGGAATTCTAATGCCGCCACCAACCCCTAGGACCGTTCTATACCGAAAAATAACACCCTTATTTTTTATTTTGATATCAAAAAATATCTAGAGAGTGCTCAAAGCGCTCGAAGTTTTCCATGTATTTTTATGGCCAAAAAAAAACGCTTTTCGTAGAAATGGTATAAAATTCTTGAAAATCAATATTTTTCGATCGGAAAATTCGGTTTTTCTTCAAAAGATTCCCAATAATAATACCCAATTCTCTATTTAATCATTTTTTCATGGCAATGTGGGGATGAATAATTTTTCTTTGGTATTTAAAATTGGTTAAATAAACAATCGGATAATATTATTGGAAGTTTCCAGAAGAGAATCAGAATTTTCCGATCGAAAAATATTGATTTTCAAGAATTCTATATGAATTTTACGAAAAGTTGTTTTTTCCCCACATAAAATGCATGGAAGACTTTGAGCGCTCTGCGCGACATCTAAATATTTTTTGATAAAAAAAAACAATCTGAGGGGTGGCGGGTTTAAAATTCCGACTTTAAATTTTTTTCTTACCACCCTAATACACACAAATACTCATGTACATATGTGTGTATTAGAATTTGTATATATTCAAGTAGAATTAAACAAAAAAAAAAAACAAAAAAGGCGATCACACATATCGCACTCTCTTCATTCAGCAAAAGTGTATTAACTGAAAATTTATAATTTTTAATATTTAGTACAGAAAAAATTTCGCAGCTTAGCCATTTAACCAGCGGTAAAAGAAGTGATACATACCACTGATAACTCGTTGCAAAAAAACCTGCATAAACCCTTTGCTCTCTAAAACTAGCAGACTAATTTTTTTGCGTGTTTCTGCAAAAGCGGATATTTTGAGTTAGCACTTTTTTGACGAAAGTATATGTTAAATACAAAACTTTCATGGGTATGTTGAAGATAGCGTTGTATTGATGTGGGCATTGAGGAAGGATGGTGACGAACGGGGCGGTGTAACTGTTTCAGTGATAATGGCGTTGGTGACAAAATTGCTTCGTTGCGTTGCGTGTGCGTGTGATATCTGATAAATATGCGTGAGCAATTATTTATTTTTGTTTTTTTTTTCAAAATTACATAATAATGAAGTGTTAAATTGTATAAATTCGGAAAGTTTTGAGAAAATAGAAGCGTTAAATGGCCGAAGGTATACATATATCGGTTTTGAGCGCTGGCGTTGACAAAATCTAAAACTTTTTAAGAACCATAAATTCGAAATTTATTTAGTTATTTTTAAGCAGTTTTTTAGTAGTTCTGAAATAATTGCGAAAAGTACAAAGTTTGTATTTATGAAAGAAATTAAAAGTTTGTTCGACTTCTCCAGTAAATACCAGCAGCTGGAGCGAGAGAATAAGATTGAGCAGAAGAGAAAATGACCAGAAATCAGTGTTCGGACTACACCAAATTTGTGGTAGATCTACCTATTTTTTTTGCTAAATTGTATTTTTAACACCGTAAAGTAGCTGTTAGACGTGACAAGTGCAAGTTGTTTTGAAAAGTCTGTCACACTCGAGAATTTCCAAAAGTGAGTGCACATAAAGTGACTTTTTATGGCAGTTTTAATATCTGAAAATCCAACTTTCTGACACTATTTTTTATCTGCTTGAACGGTGAGAGTAGAAATTTCTGTTTTCAACTGTGTTGCCAGACATTTTTATGCTCATAACAAAACTAATGACCTAAAAAATCCATTAAAAGTGCTAAAATGCTCAGAAAATAGCAAAAAAAAAAATCGAATACATTAATATCTAAATGCTTCATATATGTATCAGCAGAATAAATTATTTAGTTACAATTATTTTTGATAATTTATTCAACATTTTTATAATTATACACAAATTTGCCAAAAACGGCGTCACACGGCAACACTGAAATGGCTTGACAACACTTTCACTAAAATAAAAATTTATAGTTCAGCACGAGCAAGTTGAAAGTTATTTTCTAAATCGATTTGGGCTCTTTCAGTTGCAATCACTCCGTGCAACTTTTATTTCTGAAACTGATTTCTGAAAAGTGACAAAAAAGTCGTTTTGTATGTTTACACGTAGAAATAAGATTTCTGTTGCTCAATTGCGAATTGCGTGTAAAAGTTGAAAATATTGTCACTTCTGAAATACTTTATAAATACACTCGTGGGTGGCCACACAAACCTTACCACTACTTAAAAAAAAAAATTGTAGAATTTTGTAAATTAACAAATACCTTTTTTATTTATATTTTTATTCTTATTTTTATTTTTAATATAATTCAACAAAAGCTATAAGAATAAAAGTTTCCAACTTTGTACAAAATTAAAAAAAAATTATCAAAATTTCAAACTTTTTAATCAAAATTTTTACAAAAATTTCCCGTGCTTTTGACATGGGTAAAAATGCTCAGCATCTTATGGAAAAAATATTGCCAAAAATCAATCAGATATTTGAGCTACTTCAAAGTTGCACTTTATTGTACTAAAAATTTTGATTAAAAAGTTTGAAATTTTGGTGAAGTCTTCTAAATCTTGTGGAATGCTGTTATGTTGTTACAGTTTGAACTATATTAAAAAAAAAAATATTTTTTTGTTTTATTTACAAAATTCGACCTAATATTTATTTAAGTGGTGGTAAGGTTTGCGTGGCCTCGAGTGTATACATATATTTTTGAGAGAAATTACGAGTTTGAAAAGTTATTTACAAATGTTTGGTATAGTTGTGAAAAAAGCAATAACAGCAACTGCATTTTGGGCACGAAAATTCCGCCCCTGTCCGGACTTTGACAGACTGATGAAGATGCTTAACCCCGAGTCTTTGAGTCGTTTCGACTGCCTGCCATATGGTTTTTGCAGCGAGTACTCGTTGGAATTCACCATGGTTGGAGAATTGGTGCAAAAGCACAGTCTTCTGTAAAGACACCGGTAAGAATCATTATTGCAGTTCTAAGTATTGCGTTTTAACAGATTTTCCGTCTTTTCTCCATTTCGTATACTTCGAGTTTGTTACCGGTGATGCAAGTACCAGAAGAGTCGCTTGGCTATCTGAATAAATGTATGCTTTTCGTACTCCGCTTGGAAGTTGCTAGCAGAGTTCGGTAGTGGGAACGGAAAAGAAGATGCGGTTGTCGCGTATACCTATTAGAGTCAAGTGTTTATGAGACGAGAAGTGACCAGTCAACAGTCCCATTTGCTCAATGAAAGCCAATAATTTTCAAGATCCTCTGAGATTTAGGGCAACATTAGTTTTGCCGACCTGCAGCCCCTCGAAGCCGCCCAGTCATTAGTGAGCGGGAAATATTTAAACAGTTTCTGACGGTGTTTCGATGACCGAAGGTGCAAGTACTATGACTGGTCCGAGCCCCCCTCTGGCCAAATGTTCAGATGCCTCATTACCAGGTACCGCGCGAGTGATCTGGCACCCCGAATGAAAGAAGTTCCTCATGTTTTCCCAACATAATTTAGTCGAGACTTGCTGTGCCGTACTAGTTTGAAAGTAGTTGAAGGGCTGGCCAATGCCTTCAGTGCAGCTTGGCTGTCAACCTTTTTTCTACAGCGCAGGTGATGGCTTTGCCAAGGATTGCAAATGCCTCGTCTTGAAATATCGAGTCATGGAAGTCTAAATCTTAGGCACCAGCAATTTCCGCGTCATTCCTACAGGTTGCCTTAAGAACCTACTGGCGAATAAAAATATTAGGTGACTTTAGATTTAGCAGAGCATCCAGAGCATCACAGATGAGTAGTCGTTTATGGGCCTTAATATAGAGGTGTAAATCCACATGATTCCCCTAGTTGACAGACCCCACATTTTACCAAAGGCCCCTTTTACATTGCCAGAACGCTGTTAAGGCTTTTACTCAACGTGAGACTTACAGAAAAGTTTAGTATGTATGATACATATTTGTCTTCGGAAGAAATCTGAATAGCGACTCCTTTAAAGGCATGTGGAAAAAAGGCCGTCCAACCTTCTACTTCTGGTGAAGAGCACAACATTGGCCTATGCTTACTGCACGAAGCGTTGTTTCCGCTTTCCTGCCAACAGTGGATAGTGAAGGGCCTATAATGAGGCAGGTCACAGAGTTTGACGAGGCCGTTAAGTTGGACTAGGAGCACCAGAACAAGAGAGAAAGCACATCACCCTAAGGATAGCCGCTACGACTTCCGCACGTGTCATATTGACCTCCTTCTGCGTGAATCCTAATGTATGTAGGTATGCAGGTAGGATAGTCTACGGACCAGACGATTTGAAGCTGCCAGAAGATTCAATAGCATATCTTATTGCATCTTCACGCACCAAAGTTCTGGAAACAAATGGTACCTTGAAACCGTGGATATCACATTCTTCTCTCCGTCTCCTGCCTAGGGTAACCATCACCTGATTTCCAGGGAAAAGTGTCTCCAAAAACCGTCAGGGCTCTTAAGTGGACCCAGCTTGCCGTTTTGGTATTTTTTAAGGTCTTTTACCAAGAGAAAGTTTAAAAAGAGGTTTCTTGGCTCGAAAAGTTCGTAAATTTCAATAAGTCTAATCAAAGCGGATCCATACAAATCTATATATCTACATATTTATGTATGTTAGACTGTATTTACTAGTATAGACTATATATGTATGTAGTATGTATTTGTCTGAGGGTGTATGTATATATGTATGCAAATAAATACATATGCAAAGCATTTGTACGTTGCTTAAGCGACTGCTCTCGTTGATGGCTGACTCGTTTTGCGCACTACATACATACATACAGACATATCGTCGCAAAATTTTAATGCGCAATAAGTTTTTAGAAATAAATACATACATATATGTATGTGTGTATACATATATATGTATGTGCATATCAGTTATATGTGCCATGTCTTGCACCTTTATATACTACATATATGTATGTACATAGTACATATGCAGAATATGTATACATATCGAGCGTTTTCTAAAATCCCTTTCTCAAACCGATCTCAATCCATGGATAGTCTATTGAAGACGAAAATCCAGCAGAATTTTAATCTGAACGAAGAAATATCAGAAAAGCTTAAACGGAACTAAATTCAAATTAGTGAAAAAGTAGTTACCGATATTCTGCTTCTTCTTATTTGGCGCCGTAAAAATTCCAAGTGAAGTTAAGTCCTTGTCCATTTGGTCTTTCCATTTCGTTGGGGCCTCCCTCTTCTACTGCTACCACCAGTGGGTTCCGAGTTGTATACTTTCAGACCTGTAGTGTTGGTGTCCATTCGAGCGACAAACCAGCAGAGCCGCTGTATTTTAATTCGCTGCACCATGCCCATCAGCTCTGAGCTCATCGTTGCATCGTCTGCGGTACTCGCCGTCTCCAACGCGTAAGGGCTCGGAAATCTTCTGCAAAATCTTTCTCTCGAACACTCCAAAAGCCGCCTCATCGGATGCGGTCATTGTCCATGCCTCTGCGCCATATACCCGCACGGGTATGATGAATGACTTATAGAGTGTGGTTTTCGTACGTTGAGAGAGGGCTTTACTCCTGAATTGCCTACTCAGTCTAAAGTAGTATTGTTGGCTAGAGCGATTCTGCGTTGGATTTCCAAGCTGACATTATTAGCGGTGTTAATGCTGGTTCCCAAGTAAAGGAAATTCTCTACTTTCCCAAAATTATAACTGTCAACAGTGACATGGATGCCAAGGCGCGAATGTGCTGACTGTTTGTTTGATGACGGGAGATACTGAGTCTTGTCCTCTTTTACTACCAGATCCATTCGCTTTGCTTCCCTATCCAACTTGGAAAAGGCAGAACAGACTTCGCGGTTTCTGTTACCGATGATGTCGATGTCATCGGCATACGCCAGTAAATTGTTTCAGAGCGGTTCAGTTCTGCAGCTCTTATTATCTTCTCCAACATCAGATTAAAGAAGTAACATGAAAGGTGGTCGCCCTTTCTGAAACCCCGTTTGGTGGCGAACGGCTCGAAGAGGTCTTTCCCAATTCTGGCAGAGCTGGTGGTATTGCTCAACGTAATTTTACACAGCCGTATGAGTTTTGAGGGGATGCCAAATTCAGACATAGTGGCATATAGGCAACTCCTTTTAGTGCTGTCAAAAGCGGATTTAAACTCGACAAAAATGTGGTGAGTGTCAATCCGTTTCTCGGGGGTCTTTTCCAAGATTTGACGTATTGTGAATACCTGGTCTATGGTGGATTTGCCAGGTCTGAAGCCACGCTGATGAGGCCCAATCAGTTCGGTGACGGTGGACTTCAGTCTTTCATACAATACGCTCGATAAGACCTTGTAACCTATGCACACTTAAATTCCAGTCGTCGGGCATGCGTTCATCTGACCATATTCTGCATAAGAGGAACGACTTCGTTGAAGTTAAATACATACTTCCGCTCCTTAAAGCTTGCGCAACACTTCCACTTTACGCAAAAGGAAGTTCGAGAGCAATGACTTCAAATTGGAAATTTGGATGTCGGTAGTTTTGAAAGAGGTGCTTCAGTTGATAGAGGAAAAAAATGTTCAGTGTTCGCTTTTGTTACACCAAAAGCGCGTACTACACGGGAACTAAATTTTCAAGTTATTGTTTTTTTTTTTGTTATTTTTACAATATTCTATAAATGCAAACTACATTACAAAATGTTAATATCATTCAAACTATTATAAATTAAAATATTTGACATACTGTACAATTTTCGCTCCTAAATACGCTCCAAAAAAGCTTCCCAGCAAGCACAAACATTTAGTTGCCTGTATACACACTTTGTAGCAACTGCAGTTGCCAGTTGAGAGTTGCCAGTTGCCATCGCAAAGTTCTGTCGTTGGAAACAATTCAATTATTTCGATTTCTTGAAAAACTTGCTTAAAGGCAAATCAATTTTGACGTTTTTCGAATGAAAATGCTTTAAATCAGTCAAACATACTTTTAGGCGGAAGACCTACTGAAAATTTATAACCAGGCTGAATTAATTTACGGAATTACGGAGTTGAGAGTTGCCAGTTGCCATCGCAAAGTTCTGTCGTTGGAAACAATTCAATTATTTCGATTTCTTGAAAAACTTGTTTTAAAGGCAGTTCAATTTTGGCGTTTTTCGAATGAAAGTGCTTTAAATCAGTCATGCATAAGACAGTCATGCGGAAGACATACTGAAAATTTATAACCAGGCTGAATTAATTTACGGAATAAATATATCGAGCCATAACCGCCAAAATAACGGAAGCGACATTTTTTTTTTCAATTATCTTTTTGATGTAGAAATGTTCGTAGAGCATCTAAATGCATTTCTGCATCAAAAAGAAAATTTTGAAAAAAATTTCGCTTACGTTAATTTGGCGGTTAGGGCTCGATATATTCATACTTTGTGAAAATTGGAAAATTTCAATCAACTAAAGCAAATAAATCTACCCAAAAATTTTACGCGTAAGTTTTTCAACTAACTGCCCAAAGTACTACATACATATGTGAAATTTTCCACTTGGTCACAATTATGTAAATATATTTGCATATCCTGATCAAAACTTATCGGTGTTCATTTTCACCTGTTCTATAATAAATTCAAATGGCGGATGTAGGAAATTTATGCCTGTTTTACTGTTTTAAACATTTTACATACATACATACACAAGTGAATATGTATGTACATATATTTATACTTATTTATATTAGGTTTTTTTCTGGTACGCATCTCATCTTCATCTTGCGATCACTCAGGGTCATTGTTATAAAAGGTGAAATTTCACATAAAAAGTGCAAATAAAATTCAATGAAATGACGTCAAAACATTACAAGGTTGCTTCTTGATTTGTGCGTCATGAATATGAGGCGAACAAATCGTATATTTTGTATATAAATTGTGAGTATATATTTGTACATATGCACATTAGGGTGCCTAATCAAAGTATGTTGCACTTTTTCCACTGGAATTACAGAAATATTATTAAGATATATAATAATATAAGAAATACCTCCAACAATCAATTTTTTTGTTTAATAAAATTAGTTTTTAAATATATGTATTTTTTCCAAAAAATCACCTCAAATGATAGAAAGACTTAAGCGTAAAAGGTCCGATAGAAATTTTTAAAACGAAATCAAAATAATGAGGTATTTTGAAATCCTTAATTCCAGCTCATGCAAATCTCAGTATTTTTTT